ATGGCTTCTTCACCATTCTGTTCAAAGGGCTCTCTGAGCGTAGTTCTGGTTCTGATGGGGCCAGCAAGTTGTTCATGACCATTCCCTATGTTATATACCATGGCATCAACCTCGACTACAACTCGGTTCTCTGGCAACAACTCATTCAGAGCCTAGCCTCCTCCTCTCGCCACACTGAAGTGTCCTATGCCAGATTTTGGACACTGATCACCAAGTGGGCCATGGATAAACTTCATGTTCCAACTGTTGCAGATTCCCTCCTCTCCTCCATCAGTGTCTTCCACACCACCAAGATTATCGTTACTGATCCGACCAAGTTCTCCTTCATTGGATCCATTACGGATTCTATGTCCGCTGGTGTGTCCAAGGAGAGCATTATAATGAAGGCCTACAAGGACTTTCATCCTTCGGGTCCATGGGAACTTTCTGTGGAAATGGTTCAGTCCATTAATGACGCAGATAAACCAGCTGCTAGAGGGAAGAAACCCATGAAAGGGAAGATCAAGAAAGCAGCAAAGGGGGCAAATGGTCCTTCTCCTAAGAAGCGAAAAACCTCAAAGATAGATCTTTCCCCCCAGCGCAGAAGAAGAAAGCACAGCCAAAGAGGAAACTTATTCTCTCTTCTTCATCCATCGATTCATAAGATAACCACTCTAACTCAGACGAGTCAGCTAGAGGCGAAACTCCTCCTCACTCGCCTGCTCATGAGGTACCTGTTTCATCAAAACCTCCTTCCCCTTCTCCTATCTCCACCTCCTCCATTCCCACCATAACCTCCTCCATTCCCACCATAACCTCCTCCATTTCCATTCCCTCCATATCTAACCCTATTTCTATTCCCCCCATAACTACCTCTACTACCATTTCACCCACAACTACTTCCATACCACCACCAATCTTCACAAAAGCTACCAAAACCACCACCAGTGAGGTTCCAACCAACGTATCTGATACGGGGGTTCGAACTTCACAACCCGAACCCACTTCCACTACTGAACCATCCGCCGCACCCTTATCTCCCACTCCATCTGCTGAAACCGAAACCTTTTTGGGAGGGGAGGATATGGTTTTTGATTCCATCTACTACAGACCCTACCAACTCCAAAGTGATGATGATGATGATGCTCCAGTTACCAAAAAGCACATCAAGGAACTCCACGAGAAGATTGATAATCTTGTGGCTTTTTCCTCTTCCTCAAAATCTCACTTTTCGGAGGCTGCCATTCAGGGGATGGTGGAATCTCTCTCCAAAGCACACGAAGCCTCCATCAGCTCAGCTGCTGCTGCCATTGATAAATCGACAAAGGCAAGAGCTGTTGCGACCGAAAAAGTCGAAAAACTATTTCAAGATGCCCAGATTTGGCTGGAGTCTTTGCAGGCGGCATCTGAAACAAATACCAAGAAGATTTGCACCGTTGTGGAGAAGCTGGTCCATTCTTTCGAAACCGAAAAAGACCAATTTGCCAGCTTCCGTCAGAACCTCAAAGAAGATAATCAATCTTTTTAATCTTCGGTTGCGGATCGTCTTCTTACCTTTCAAGCCACTCTTGCCGCCGAGTCTACTACCAAGGACGAGCTTGCTCGTAAATCTTCCGAGCTTACTCTTGCAACTCATCATCTCTCCCAAGATGAGAAGGAGATCGATTCTCTTTGGTCTGAGAAAGCTGTGGCCAGGAGTTGTGTTTCAAATGTCCATGGAGCTCTGTCTAACATTATCAAAGCCCATGATCTGATTCTTAACTATTCGGTGAGGCGCACTCTTGCAGAGAAGCTCGCTCCTGCTCTTGCCCTGCTTAGCCGCATTGAAGGGATTCCTGAGCAGGAGGAACATCCAAAACAAGGGGGAGAAGGGAAGCCCACAGCTCAATCAAAACCCCCTCCGTTTTACAAAGCTCAATCACTTCCAGTTTCATCACTTGTCCCTCCGAAAGCACCCAAACCAACATTTGTTCCTGCATCAGGTTTGAGTGCTCAAAGCAAAGACAAACAAATCATTGATGACAGTGATGAAAGTGATGATCAAGAACTGATTGTCACCCTACTGAGGAAACAGGCTAGAGAGAAGGAGCTAGATGAAAATGCTCGCATTTCCAGAGAGGCTGAAGCCAAGGAGAGGAAGATAAAGGAGGCTCATGATCTCCTTGAAAGCAAAAAAACTCTATTTCCTCCTTGGACTCTCGAAGTGCTTGTCAAAGAAGCCATTGAGTCCCCCTGCACTCTTTGGCTAAAACCGGTGATCTCCTTGGACCGGGTCAATTCGGTCGATTCCCAATTTGACATGCCCCTGACCAGAAAAGCTTTTATCTTCCATGCATTCGCCCACATAGCTGAAGTTCCTCATCCTCGCCTGAAGTTGGATAGGGAGCTTGTAGACTATTATCTGAGGACCGCTCAACCTCAGTATCAGACGTGGAGCGCACAGAAGATCATCAACCTTCAGGTTCTCAAACCTATTAGAGAGGGCAACTTCATCAATGTCATATTCAAGGTCTTAAGGGGATCTGACAAAACCGAGCATTCCATCTCTCTGGCTGATCTTCCCAACTTAAACCCTCATGATTGGATAGTCTTACACAACATTCTTCTTGTTAGTGAAGTGGAATATGGTCCGATCATAGACCATTTCAAGAGAATGTTGGTTTGTTATATTTTTGAGGTTGCTAAGCTAGATCAAGAGGTTGCTAAAGTTCTCAGGAAGAAGCTCATCATCACTCCAGTCGGTTCTGCAAGCGATATAAACTGAATGAAGATGGGAAAGATTGATCCGAAACAAAACTCAGTCATGTTCACCAGGGCAGAAGGTCAGAAATGCTTATTTGCTTTGGCTGACAAACATCTTTACACCACTTCCTGCTTGGAGCATGTTCTAGGTATCATCAATCGATGCAAACAGAACTCGGAAAGTGATAAAAAGTACTTCAACGATATGATCAATTGGTACATTCACTTCCGACAAACACTTCTTGCTATCATTCCCTGCCTATTCAAGACTGTGAAGAAAGCCAGTGCCGCAGGAGTAAGCAAGCTGGAGTGAGGTCTCGCCCCAATTGACGCAAAGGGGGAGATTGTTGGGTATTTGATGTTGCATCTTGGGCTCGTCTCTTAGTCCATTTTGTATACGGTATGGGCATGTCCATCCGTACCTTGTTTTGTTAGGGTTTGTGTATTAATAGATGCTTGCATGCATCTTTTTCATGACTGATAGATTGTTTTTTATGTGTAATTAAGAAGATCTCTTTTGTAATCCTAAAATCCTCTACTGCGGAAGTTCTTATCTAGCTCTGCTGAGGATTGAATGTTCTAATCATTCGACTCATTCAGATCCATTCTTGAGTATTGTTTCATTGTTTTACTTTCATTATCTACCTGTTCCAAAGATCTAATCGATCAAAGAGTTTTTATATCTCATCAAATTGGTTACTGTATCAAGCGACACACACTATCAAATTTATATACTTTTTTATTTTTTTAAAAAGTGTTTTGATGTTGGAATTTTCTCTATACTCGGGGCTGTGTTTGTTGGTTTTCACGTGACCAAACTGATGAATCAAACCATAAAATCATCACATCACAACATATGTAGACCATACTTGACCTTTGTATTTTTTGTTAAAAAGGAAAATGACATAACATTTGTAGAGCATACCACACCACAAGCTCCATATGCAAAACTCTCTCTTGCATGGATATCTGTTAATGAAGAACCAAGCTTGTCAGCTAGTGCAACAAGATGCTCCTTTGCATCTTGAGAAACAAAACCATGGTTTTAGTATCCAAGTTGTAGGTATCCATTATGTGTATGGATGATATTTGTTGTAGGTAACCTTGTCCAGTTTGTATATGTGTTCATACCACATATATGCCACATACTCAAAGAATACTTGAATAACATGGTGTTAGAGATATTAAATTTAGTATTGTAGTAATCATTGATGGAGTAAAATTAAACTAACCTAATAGGAATGTTAAATATTATAAAAACTTGATAAAAGACGATATGTTAAATTTTAAGAAAGAAATGTGAACATAATTGTTTTAACTTTTAGTTGCACTGGAAAACAACTTCAAATATTTAAGATAGCATACCAAAATTTGTCCATCTACATGTGGATCATGCAAAGCAATTTCCTTTGGGTAACCCACCAGTAACAGGGGTAATTTGTCCGTCTACATGCAGTAGATTGTACTAGGGACTTAAAGCACTTATAAGACTATCTTATGGAGGGTATTTTGGTAAACCCACCAGCAACAAGGGCAATTTTGTCCAAAAAATATATGAACGGCCTAATCATATTTAAATAGCATCAAATCAACACCAATCTCTCTATATCTTCTTCATTTTGTCCAGAAAAACAACTAAAAGACCTTGAAAGCACAAATACAACAAAAAAATATTAAAAATATGTATTTGAAGGATTAATTAATGAAGAGAAAAAAACAAAGTAACTATATTTACGATTTTACCCCTGTAATTGCAGTTTCTGTCCATGCCCAAGCTAATGGAAGAAAATACCATGGGGATTTGGCAATCATAAAAAGCCCCAATGCATATGAAGTGACAAATATCAAAACAGATTTCCATGCTTTCATGTTATCAATTTCAAATACCTTTTGAGAAAAAAAATAAAAAGTATTAAATATGAATATGTTCAAATAAAAAAGGAAAAAAAATAATAAGTAAGAGTTTAATACGGTATTGGGAAGAGTATCGATGATGTCTTCAAAGTGACATTATCTAAAAGTGGTTCTCCAATTTTTCTAAAACCGTTATTTCGCATAATTCTTGTCTTCTTTCTACGTTGTCTGTTGGTAATGGTGGTGTGATAGGACTGGCTATTGCTTTGACTATTTTACCCTTTCGTAAAGGAATCATTGCAAGTTATATATCAGGGTTTAAGAAATACCTTAGAAAGACCATCAGTAAGGGCCCGTTTTGACATAATCACAAAACTATAAGGACTTAACTATTATATAATTTTTTTAAAAAAAAGGGAGGGGATTTACGTATCAAGACAAAGATCTGCCAAAGAACTGTGTCTGATGTGTTGGTTCTTCATAGCAACATCAGTGAAAATACTATGGTTTGGTTGCGCACCCTGTGCAACAGCATCTACACAATACCCAAAACATGTAGGAAAAAGCAACCTACTTTTATTTCTTCTTATTACAACATTCAAACTATAATGTCTTAATTAAAAGTACAAGGTTATAACTGGGTATAGTTTTATATAATAAGAGGATTAAAAATGACATACAAGCACGAAGTCTCATTTCACCGGCAACTGGGAACCTGAGAAGCCAAAGGGCACTATTGGGAACACGCTTTAAAATATTGCACCTGAAACAAACATTATGTTAAATGTTACTTACAAGAGTAACATAAATTGAGATTATATCTTTAATGTTACCAAGTAATAAAAATTTCAGTATCCATCTTGTAAAGCTGATTAAAACAAGCAAATATGAACTTGTTTTCAGGCAATCTGTAAGCTGAACGCTTGGGTTGGCGGTTTACATCCAGCACATCAAGGTTTTTCTGCACCCAACCATTAAAAAAATTATTATTAGGAGAGTATGTAGTATGAAAAATCTACTCAATTATATCAATAACAGATTAATCAAACTACATTTACACCTTTACCTGCTTGTAATCATTCACAAAGTAGCAATGAGGGAGATGAACGACCTTCTCAGAGTAAATATGAGCAAACCGAGTTGGAGAGACAAATTGTAACAGATTAATATTTTTATGTATATTTAAATATATTTTGTTCATTGTTATTATATATACTTGAAGTTTTCATTATATTTATTTAATATATCTTGTGTGGTATCTTGTTCTTCAATAAAAAAAAGGAAGAAATCAACCAAATGCAACCAAAGATTCAAGATTCGCGACTAAATGCAACCAAAGATTCAAATTACAAGAAAAAACCATACCTTCTTGGAAAACCATCCATGTTTCCAAAAGAGCTGTTTGGAAATGAAAAACCAGCAATAGGGGCCACAATGTTTAATCCCACTATCTCTATATTCATTGGCTTCCCATCAAGTTGGACATTGTTATACCTTTTGATAGCCGCCAATGCATCTTGCCTTCTTGAATACAATATCATAGCCATCCCCTGAAAGAAAATTTAGTTACAACAAAATCACAAACATGAAACTTTACAAAAGGTACTAAAACCTTAAAAATTACCTTTGATCTCCCACTTCTATCATAATGTATAGAATACTTTTTTAGGTCACCAACTTCTGCAAAAATCTCCTACACAGATTTACCATGTGAGATTTCACCCAAGAAATTCTATGATTTACCAGTAAAGAAATAAAAACTATATTGTGCACAAAGTACAATCTCGTCCACAAATCAACCAAAACAGCTTTCAGATACATCAGCAACACTTAACTATTTTCTTATTACTATTAGTGTTTGCCTAACTACAAGAAACCATTAATCTCTACTATAACTTAGATTAGCTATGTACCATTTAATTCATGCCCTTGCACACGAGTAAAAGAATCTGGAAATAGATTTACACATCTTCAAAGAATCTTTAAGATGTATTGTAATTTATACTAACTTTTCCTTCTACCAAGTACCAAACTTAGAAGTACAAGGATTTCGATTTCACGTTTATTAAATCGTCAATAAAGAAGAAAGAACCAAATCAGTTTGATTTTTTGAAATATTCGAAGTCTGATTTTTTATGGTTAATCCAAACATTGGAGTACGGTATCCAGATCTAGCCAAAGTTAGCTACAAGAGGTAAAAAGAAAGTATCAATCACCTTAATATCGTCATTTGAGACACTGTAATCAAGGTTTGATATGTAAAACTTCATCCCAGTTTCAATCGCAGATAGATGGCCGCCAAGTCCAACTTTCCCCATGACATTAGCATAGATGAGATGCACCTTTGTCTTGTCTGAAGGGTTTTCAAGCACAACTCTAACAACCTAACACATAATATAAATTACCATCTTATTTTATTTTATTTTAAGAAAAGGACTTGATAAGGTTTTAAATAAATAAATAAACACCCGAAACATCGGAGTGATGCCAGATCCACCAGCTATCATTCCAAAGGCTCTAACCTAACCTGGTTGATACCTAACACGCCCCTATAAATGTAATTTAAAATATTTAAAGCTCAAGTCCATTCACCTCCGAATAGAAGAATGTAATTAGTTTGATTACCAAAGGCTCTAACCTGACCTGGTTGATACCTAAAACGCCCCTGTAAATGTAATTTAAAATACTTAAAGCTCAAGTCCATTCAACTCCGAATAGAAGAATGTAATTAGTTTGATTACTAAAGGCAAGGATGCAGAAAACTTTTGAATCAAAATCAACTTTCTTAAGCATTGATACATCAAATCCAGTTATCAAATAATCCAACAGAAACCATAGAGGAGTAGCATTACCTCAAATTTCTCCACCAGTTAGTGATCCACAACCTGAAATTAAAGAAAAAAAATAATAAGTTTTGTGACATATCTGCGAAGAATCAGAACAGGTGGAAGAAGGATGTAACATATCAGAAGGTGTGGGAATCAAGTGGGGAAGAAAGAAGCCAGAAATAGAGTAGATGATGAATCCAAAGGGTCAAAGATGGGGAGTTTTGGAGGAAAACTCACATGATTTGCGTTTCTTGCAGACAACATTTGATTGTACCGATAACGACCCCGCTCTAGGGATCCCGTATCTTCCCTCCCTTTACATACATTAAAATAAATAAATCAGAATTTGAAACATAAAACAAGTCTTTGAAAGAAAGGTATTTACTTAATTACCTAACAGCTGGTTAAGAGGAGAAGAAGCAGAGGGAAGATTAGTTCCATGAACGAAATTGGAAGAACCAAGAGCTGAAGAAGCGGGACCGGGACCAGATCCAGGAAGCGTAGGTGGTCCAGTACTGTAATTCAAAACTGGTAACCCACTCGGACCTTGAAAACAAACAGGAAAAACATCTGGGTTCGATGAGATTGGTTCGGATAGTTCTAGAGGCCTATTTCTCTACCGAACATGAAGCCATACCTAAGAAAGGGATGATTATGAAGAAAAACATCGGGAAAGACGGTGTGGGTTGGAGGTAGTTGAGGTGGGTATCAGGCGGGATTTTAGGGTTTGTTTTGATTGATGAAGATTTTAGTAACTTCAAGTATGAAATTATCGATGTTTTACACACAATGCTTAAAACATATCGAAACAACATCTGGGTTCGATGAGATTGGTTCGGATAGTTCTAGAGGCCTATTTCTCTGCCGAACATGAAGCCATACCTAAGAAGGGGATGATTATGAAGAAAAACGTCGGGAAAGACGGTGTGGGTTGGAGGTAGTTGAGGTGGGTATCAGGTGGGATTTTAGGGTTTGTTTTGATCGATGAAGATTTTAGGAACTTCAAGTATGAAATTATCGATGTTTTACACACAATGCTTTTAGGGTTTCTTATGACTGAAGAGGATTTTACATAAGAAGAAGAAGAAGGATGAGAGTATCAAGGCGGGGTGTTTTATTTTTTGGATTTCATAAAAAATTGGAGAACGCGCGTTCATAAAGAAAAATATAAAGTGATAGTTTTAGACGACACACTTTTATGATAGGTGCCCTCCGTGTTTTTAATTTTTTTTGTTCGACACTATTCATAGGGCACGCATAAATGCATGTCTTCTATCCTTCAAATTTTGCAAAACTAACATTATTTTTTAGGGCACATGCAAATGCGCATCCTCTATCAGCGAGTGTCATTGTTTGCGCGTCATTAAAGGGCCGTTTTCTAGTAGTGACTAAACTTTAGTAAATCATGACGAATATCTTTATCACTCTTGTGGTGAACTTGATTGATGCACAACATTGTGAACTCGATCTCCTAGTCCTTCACTTTACTCTTTGTCAATGAATTAGTCTTGAATTTCCAATTGTAAAGTTTCTTATTCATCACACAACCAAGTTGTATGATTCCAAGTTTCTGTCCAATTGAAACTTTGGGCGATGAGAAACTCTCCCTGTTTGCCAAATTCTTGACATTTCCACAAATAACATAATTAAGAATCAAATCCATTATTGCTAATAATAGAAACCTTTAAACATCAATTTATCATACATGCCATTGCAAGGATAAATAAATAAGATAAAATCAAATTTTATTTTATTGCAGAAAAACTTGTTCAAACAATGCAATTCAACTGAAAAACTATGCTATTACATATTTGATAGCAATCTACCCTAACTCTAAAGTAGTAGCTAAAAAATCTGATCTTTGAATCCATGCGATCGAAATCCATTTCTTCGTGATCAGATTCAACACGCTTCTTCTTTAAGCTTCCTTTCTTTTCTTCGATCCTTCAAAAACATCAAAATGTAATCTTATCTCATCATGTATTAAGAATCAAAAATAGGAACTTATAGAGCTAGTTAACGGATTTTACATGAAGTAGAGCCATACGTCTTGACTCTCCCATCTCTTAGATCTCTCAGGTAAACTGGGAAGCTTCATCTCCAATGCCCCTTCTCTTGGCAATAATAGCAAATGGACTCCCTTGGCACATTACATGGGACAATCTCATTCTCAGTCCTTTCTGGACTTTCAATGTTGCCAGTGCCCAATGAAGTATGGGGGTTTGATCGACCAATCAAGTTTGTTGACCATTGAGCCAAATCATCGCTGATTCAGCAACAATAAGCAAATAGGTCAAATCAATGAGGTTCACGTCGTGAACAATCGTATAGTACTCTCTTACGAACTCACTATACAAATTAGGAAGTGACTGAAGAATTCAGTCAACAGCCAACATCTCTGAGATATCGACACCCAACATCCTTAACCTATCAATGTGTGACATCATCTCTAAGACGTGTTGTAACGCCCGGGTTTCAGGGCTAATCATTTTTGTCATTATAATAGTCTAGGTCAACTCTTGTAACTCTTTTTGAAGTAATAAAGAGGAAACATTGAGTATTATGTGAATTATGTGTGTTTATGTGTTTATTATTTAATTATAAATGTATAATTAATAAAGAATAAAAATGAGCGTCAAAATTAAAGTGTGATATAATCCTCATATCTCTACATAAAGTTGTAGAATATGTCTCAAGGTTTCCGTACATATAAAAAATACCGAAATCCGAGCTATAACGAAAAAGTTATGGCCTCCCGAAGTTTTACGGCAAAACCAGCACAGCACCGGGAGACGTAAATAGTGAATTTACGATAGAAGACTCTTTAGCCTTAGCAATCTAAACAAAAGTCATAGAATATGTTAAACTAAGAACATCGATAAAAAGAACGCCCAAATCTGACTTCGTATGAAGAAGTTATGATTTTTCTAAGATTCGGCATAGCAGTGCACGACTCGAAACTCGAATTTTAGTTCGAGCGGTTTTAGGCTTATGCAACCTAAATGAGAGTTGAAGATCTCATTAATAGGAACTCAACGGTAAAAAGACAGACGAAAACGGAGTCCGTATGAAGGAGTTATGAATTCTTCGCGGTCATTTAACAGTCTAAACGCCTCCTACTGTTAAATTTGAGAGCGGTCGAGAATTAGCTGACGAAGTCGAAGCGAAAGTTGTAGATCTTGATTTTACCTACGTGTGGATATAAAGAACGTTGAAAACGGAGCTAGTATGCGAATGTTATGATTTTTCTAAGTTTGAAGGCTGATACACGATAGGGGGTGACGTGGCACCACCAGAATTGGACACGTGGCATTACCAGAAGGCCACCACATGGACCAACTCAGCGAGTCATGACTCAGACTCGGCGAGTCCACCAGTCAGGCCTCCTATAAATAGAGGTGTCGGGCATTCACTTCTCTTCACACATCAACCCTCTTCTTTCTCTCTCTAAACTCTCTCTCTAAGCCCCCTAACCCCCCCCCCCCTAAAAGCCTAGGTAAACCCCCTAGCACCCGAAGGAAGCCACGAGGCTCCCGGAGTCCCGAGAAAAGAGCCTTTCGGCTCAGGAACGCTGCTCCAGCGAAGCCCGGTTTTCGAGAAAACCTGCTGTAAGTGAGCTACGCCTAACCTATCTTTAGTTTAGCTTATGTTTTAATATAGGAATGTTATTAGGTCCTTAAATAATTATTTGGGCTATTATTATGAGTTATATTGAGTGTTATTAACGCTTATATAATAATAATAATAGTCATACAATTAATTTGTTGCAATTATCATCAGACTAAACCCTAGTGGTATCAATACTAGGTTTTATCAAAGAAAAATCGTTGTGAGAGTATCGAAGCGTTGTCCGAGTGTTGAGTCACCACCTAATCAGGTGAGTGCATAGTTACTTTCATCTTACACATAGATATGAAGTATTTTGTATATTACGTGCTATGTGTGCATATTATCTGTTATCTATGCTGGATGAATGTTTTTATACAAGTTTTAAATGATTTAAACTGTATATGTATTTTATATCTACAAAAATGTTGGGGTAAAACATGGGTAGATGTAATAAGACGATGTGTGATAAAATGATGAGAGGCTTCAATGTTGTTGTTGATCCAGTCATCTAGCGGAGTATAGATGACGACCACGAACTCTTCTAGATAGTCCAGTGGAACACTAGCAGGCTCGCAATCTGTAGGTGTTGTGAACGATGTGTTCACCGGTGTACTCCATCCCCAACATGGTTGCCTTTAGGACATTTATTGCTGAGGAACCCCCTTAGCAGTAGTGTCCGTCCAGATGATGATCCTTAGGCTAGGTCCCTTATGATAGGTGTTTAGGAACGTAAAGTGAGGATAACGGGAATGGGTAATCGGGTTATTGTTGATTGACGAAATTAATAAACTTATTTATTGTAGGTTGAAAACCCTATGTGCTCACTAGGCCCCCAAGCCTGGCCCACTATGTTTTATGTATTACAGGTAGTGGCGCATGAGCATAGGTGTGATGTTTTGGACGAGGGATTGCGGATATAGGCCTGTAGATATGAAATAATGTAGTAAGGCTTATATTGTACTGTTTATGCTTTTGATCTGTACGAACATGACATCCCAACTCTTTTAATGAAATACATTTCTATGGAAATGATTTTGATAAATATTTATCATATTATTGTTTTGGGACAAATTCCGCAACCCTTTTATTAAAAGATAACTCTCATTTTGAAATAAAGTATAAACAAAACCGGTCTTTTTTCTGGCCGTGATTTTGGGGATGTCACAGTTAGTAACAGAGCATTAGTTTAAGAGAACTAGGAATTTGTAGGATATCTAGACTGAAACATAGAATGTTAAGCGATGATTGTGAGGCGTGAGCACTAGCTTATTTTAGGAATATGCCTAAAATGCTTTTATGTGCTAAATGCTTTGTGCCTGATATGTTGTTAATTGTTCGGATCTATGGTCTGTTGCCGACCGGATCTGGAAACCTTATGTGTTTAGGATTCTAAACGTACGACTACGATATTAGAACTAGCATGTAAACGTGTCGGAGTGATAAGGACGATTTAAAACGTCTCTCCTAAATAAAGATCTAAATTCACCTTATTCGGTGTATAGATCAAGATGGCAAGGACCCGTAGCGGAAACATGAACGCGAATGGAGGTAGGAACCAACCCCCAGTGATCGAGCAAATACCAGTTGTGGAAGCCGCTGCCGGACCAATAACGATGGCCGGAGTGCAAGCGATGATCCAGGCAATGTTGGATCGTCCAATGGAGGAAACCAGGTGTTTGCTCCAGCAAAATCGAGAGGAAGCGACTATTCAGATCGAACAGCCCGAGTTGAACGAAGGGCAGACTGAAGAAGGAAACTACAGTGGGACTATTGGTCAAGCCAACCCACCGATAGTTAGGCAAAACCACCAGGACGGAGGAAATGATGGACGTGGATGCAAATACAAGGATTTCATGGCATCCAAGCCACCGAGTCTATCTGGAAGCCCGATGTCGGTGGAAGTCATGAACTGGATCTCTGAGATGGAGACAATGTTTGAGAGTTGCGAGTGTAGTAATAGGCAGAAGACTGCTCTCGCAGTTCCTCTATTGAAATCTGGAGTACAAAGTTGGTGGAAGCTATTAGCTGATTCGATGCCCAAAGGTGAAACAAGCAAAATGTCGTGGGAGGATTTTCTGGTACAGTTGAAGATGCAATACTGCTCTGAGCAGGATCTTCTAGAGATGAACAACGAATTCCAGAATCTGAAGAAGGGAAGAATGAGCGTTACTGAATACGCTGCAAACTTTACTGAGAAAATGAATCT